CTAAAACTGCCCGGTCCTGCAGATTTGCTTTATACAACATTAGGAAGACCAGGCCCTTTCTTTCAGAAAAGAAACAATTAATCCAAAATGCCGCTGCAAGATTAATCTTTAATGAGCCGAAAAGAATGCATGTCACACCTCTGTTCATCAATTTGCACTGGCTACCAGTAGCTGCTCGCATTAAATTCAAGGCATTAATGTTTGCCTACAAAACCACCACTGGCTCTGCACCCACTTTCTTTTTCATTAACTGTTCCTTCCTGGTGGAATAACCTGCCCAAATCAATCCGAGCAGCTGAGTCCTTAACCATCTTCAAGAAACGACTAAAAACACATCTGTTCCACCTTTATTTGACCCTCTAATCTATATCTATATCGCCTTTATCTATATTTATCTTCTTTTTAAATTATTTATTTATTTCATTTATAAAAAAACAACAACAAAAAACAAACAAACACTCGCTTTCTAATATTTCTATTCTATCTACTTGTTTTTCTTTGTGTGTGTGGTGTGTGTGCGTGTGTGTATATATGTGTATAGTGTATATATATATATATATATGTATATGTATGTATGTGTATATATATATATATATATATATATATATATATATACACACACACACACACATCTATATATGTACCGAACAGAAAAAATAGAAAGCTAGTGTTTGTTTGTTTTTTGTTTTTTTTTATATATATAAAAAAAAGATAAATATAGATAAAGTAGAATTAAAATAGAATAGAAAGTGATGTATGTGTATATATATATATATATATATATATATATATATATACACACACACACACACACACCTTGCTACATGTACTGCGTTAGGTTAACCGAGACTTGTCATTTGCACTTATATATTGTTGCTCTTTTGTTAGCTTTGACTGCTTTTATTGTCCTCATTTGTAAGTCGCTTTGGATAAAAGCATCTGCTAAATGACTAAATGTAAATGTAAATATAAATAAACATGTGTCTATGCCTGGAAGGCATCGCTGAGCCTCTGCCCTCTATCTATTTCCACGTTCATTTCTATATAAATATTAGGCATTTTTTGAATAAACAAATGCCAAGAACACATCTCGCTAATAAATTCACTAAGCTGGTTGTTTGGAAATATACATTCTTACACATGAGCGATCACTTCATTTTCAGTCTCATTGTTATAAAACATCCTTAGCAACACAATCACAATCATTTGCAAATCACTCTTATAGTATTGCGAATAGTTTGAACTTTGAGTTCATGGTCATGTATTTATAAATGATGGCTATTTTTGGTGCAAAAGTTAACAGTTAACATTATAAGTGGACCTCAGGGAAAATAAAATGGAAAAAAATGCAAGCAAAAGCATTTAAAATGAGAAATTATGAAATTCATATTTATTACTTAATACATCTAATAAAATAAAATAAAAATAAAGAAAATATTGGTGTAAATTGTGACCTTGCCTCTCTGCCTCTGAGATCCCCAATACCTGTCATGTTCTTGTGATCCAAGCTTTCGACTGCAAAAGTTGTTCCTGCAGCAAGGCTGCCTCTCTCAATAATCTGGGCTTCTAGCACCTGGAGAGACAGAAGATTGTTCTGTCCTCGCGGTCATATAATAGTGTGATTTGCTCATATCAGCAGTCACCCTTCAGCAGTCCATATAGTAGTAGTAATAGCTCCTTAATTGGATAATGTACCTTGATATTTTGTAATTTTAGAGTGAAAGACAGAAGTGGTTTAGCCCAAGCAATTACACCAGATTCCTAATTTTTTCCATTGCTAATCAAGCCTGTGTTTCTTGGTTACGTCATTACTCTTCATGGACAAAAAAAATCTGCCTCATTCTGGCTGTGATGACTGCTGAGCTTTGATTTATTTGATTAATTAATTTTTTATGTACATATTCTGCATAATCTATCCCATCAGGTAAGTGACTCTGCGATAGAAGATAGAAGATAACAAAATAAGCCCCTTTTACATTTCAGGGTTCTCAGAAGCAGAAGTCATCATAGACTTCATAAACTTATATAGTGATAAATGGAAACTACAACAAATATTTGTTTGCATTCTCATTTGCCCCAACAGCAAAAGAAAAAACCCACAATAGTGTTTCTATGACTTTCCAAAAGAAGTGGAAAAAATTAAGAGAATATGTTAGTCAAAAGAGAGAAAGATGTCAAATTTGCTGTCACTCCTTCAGTTAATTAGTGTTAATTAGTTTTATGTAATTTAATACCAAGGTAAGAAAATATACATTCAATTTTTACAAATATAATATAATATATGATAAAATAAATCTTATTTTTTATCTTATTTTAATTTTAATCTTATTTTTGCACCTGGATGTCGAGCTGATTGACTGATGGGCAATCATTCTAACAGATTAGTAATTCCCATTTAATAATATATAATATAATATAATACAATATAATAATCATAAAAGTTATTTTTGCACCTGGATGTCTTTGCTGAGCTGTTTGACAATGTGACTTATGATCTGAATGTGGTTCTCCAGTAGTTTTCTAGCAGACGACTCCATCAGGACTGAACCCTGAGTTGCAGTCACCACGTCGTCCCTGATCTTCATGGCTTGTTCCAGTAGAATGCTTCGAGTGCATTCCTGATTGGTCATGCGGCTCTCCATATGTCCTATAAACATTTCAATTCAAAACGTAATTACACAACTAGAACTCATTTGCTAGAGATTTTTAGAATTCTTTTTTTAAACATTTTTTAGGCCGTTAAACATTAACAGTCAAGCCCACATATTGTTAAAGTAAAGTAATCTGGCAGTAAAGAATTTTTATTTTCAAAAGCTGGTCTCCAGAAACTTAATTTTAAAAAGATCTCTTCATCACAGGCAAACAGCCTGCGACATCTCATTACAGTGTAATGTGAGCTTATTTGATGTAATTTAATATCATAAAATGTATAGTATAATTAGTAAACAGAGTCTGAGAATGCTTTATTTTGTAAAAGAAACTACAGTAAAGAGCCATACTGTCGAAATGAAGCTGAATCAAATGCCTTTGGAAGCTAGAAGAAGCACAGCACTGCTTTCTCTTACATTGCATTAAATGTAGTGAGCATAACTCAAGGGCTCCAGCAAACTACATCAACTATTGATTATCTGCCGCTGAGTACCGTTTCACCCTGATGAATAAAGTATTCATTTAACAGAGGTGAATCCTTTTGATTGAGCATTTACAGATTTAATAGTTAAAATGTGTATGTATGTGGGCTATATATAGTATATATAGGCCTATATATAAAATGCAAAGTAAAGTTGAAATCTTTACTTACTTGTGAACTGTTTCCCTGTAGTCTGTGTTTGTTTAGTTTGATCTCTTAGCTACACATGGCATGTTCTGACAGGAGTGTGTCATTATAGGCCTATTTGACAACTAGATAATGCAGTCAATTTGATTTTAAAATCGTACATCTGCTTATCCAAATATAACGTTATTACAACTAATTAACTTTCTAGTCTGCGAAAGATGACAGCTTTAGAATGATGGACTAAAAGCAGTTCATCATGCTATCATTTCACAAGAAGCATAATTAAGTATTGAAATAGAAGCCAGACATCTCAGACTCCTCATTAATTCTCATGGACTTTTCTGACCAGACTACCAGTAATGATTTCCCTTTTGTGATTTGTAACACATCTATTATGCAATATATAGCAATGTACTCAGCATCTCCACGCTTCAAAGCTAAGTGGTAATGGTCTCTTTAGGGAAATTATTAAAGTAACGTCCTAACGTGTGCTGCTACTTGCTGTGTGTAAAATCAATTTGATACACATAAACGTTTAAAACATCACAGTTCTTCGTCAAACAGACATGCCTTTACAGCAGCTGTTACATAGAATTAAATAATTCAAATGGTAAGATCTTTAAAAGTAAATATGAGTGGGTTTTATTGTGGGTGGTATTGTCTTGGCTTTGCCTTCACTTTTAAATTGAAAACATGGCTATTTATACTGTAAATGCTAGTAATTTTAATGGGAAAAGAATATGAAAATGATATAAAACCTGTCAACTGATTAATTCTAAAGGTGTCTTTACACAGCCGAGGTAATCTGTGCCTGCTCACAATTCAGTGTAAAGACGCAATGGTGCATAAAGCTAGACTAAATTATGCCTGCTCAGACCCATTCAGCCCCTCATCAAGGTTAGGATTGATGTGTAAATGCATTAATGCCACCACTGTGCAACATTAAACAGTCCGTACAGACACATAAATGCCACTTCAGAAACACTTCTGTGCCACCTTTGCAGTGTAAATTTGCCAATTGTCTAACCATTCACATGTTAACGTCATAAAAGACAATACATAAGTTAGATGTTAAATGTTTTGAGTTAAATGTTTTTTTTTTTAATCAAAAGTAAAATTATATTATAGATATTTATGTTTATTCATGTTTACAGCATGGTGTGATGGTGCTTGTGTTTCTATGGTGCCACATCTCTGCCTTTATGTTAATATTGACTACTGGAGAGGCATTTTTGCTTATCTTTAAATCGTGTGTCTTCCCGGTGTGCCACCTGTATTATTATCAACACGTTTTATAGTAACAAACAACATTTAATAGCTCAAATAGCTTGTATTAACATTGTAATAGAATGACAAATGCAGACCTGTATAGTAAAATATACACTGACCAAATTCCTTATAATTACTGACTTTCGCCAAAGGGAGGCGCATCTTTCAATTCTGCAATTATGTATTCATGTACTGGCTGTTTCTTAGGTTACTGTCAGGCCATTAAGTCTTTAAAGAGTGAATCAGATGCCCAGTCACGTTTATTTCACAGGTAGCTAACCCTTGTTGGTGGCTATTCTTCCCGCCTACAGAGCTATTTTATTAAATACAAACAAATGGTCCAGTAGGTTTAGTTTAGTTTACTTCAAGGTTAAGGTGCCGTGAAAGACCCTCCGAATAATGTCACTAGTATAACAGATAAAGTTAATTTGTTGTAAGTGCCTGAGTGTCATTTGCGATCAAGAGCACGCGCTCCTGTGCTTCAGTGTCACTGGCGCTCCGCGCGCTGACAGCCTGCTGCCGCTGCCGCTGCTGGACGGGAGCTATGGAGGAGAAACCCAAAGATGAGAGCGCCAAAGACCCGCAATCGACGTCCTACCAGAGAAGGATGTGGAGGACTTTCCAAGAGAAGACCAAACCGTTTTTGAGCCCCAAACTGGGGTCCGAACGACGCAGCGGGGATGCTAAAAAAGAAAGCGGATTGTGGATGTTTAAAAGAAAGAAGAAACAGGTCTTGGACCGGGTCTTCTCGTCCTCGCAGCCCAATTTGTGCTGCTCAACTCCGCCGTCTTTCGTAGGCGACAGGACCCTGTGCGAGCAGCCGGGCTCTAGCGCCGGTAAAGGGCTCGGGATCTCCCCGCTGGCCGTTGCTGATGGAGCATCAGTCAGTAAACCGGAGATTTCCCTATCCGCGCACGGGAGCCCCAAGCTGCTGGTGTCTCATCTGGTTATGTCCCAGCAGAAGAGCTCGTCCTTGGGCTCGACGTGCTTCGAGAAGCTGGTGGTGGATTCGGCAGCATCCAGTGAGGATGAGCTGGCTAAAAACGCCAGTGACCTGGTAAGTGTGAGAGTGATTTTTAAAACATAAGATAACCAGAAAGTGACCCGAGTGTGCTTTCTGCATACTGAGAAATGAATTGTCTTCACGTTTCATCCTATTTTACTACGTATCGGCACTGTCTCCTCATTAACTGACCCGCAAATTGAATATTGTCTGGTCATCTCCCATGTGGGGTGTTCAGACAGCAGTTGACATTGAACATGTTGACTGATCTGTCAATGTGTGGTGCTGCAGATTCCCCTTTTGTTTACTCATAAGTGTTATAGAGAGACTAAGAGGTTTACTAACTTTATTCATAAGATCTCACAATCTCAAAAATGTCACATTAAGTGGCCCCAAATAGTATTTGGCCACTTAAGCCGCACTTCAGTGTCACTGCATTAGATCAAACCAGTGGCATCTGTACGCAAATTATTATAGACTTTTACTTAGAACTAACTTCACTTTTCACAGCTATTTTTGCAAATACTTTTATCTAACTAGTGCCATTGTGATTTGTGATGGATGGTAGTGTAATGAATTTGAGTAAATGTAATTAGTTACTGTACTTAATCTTTTTTGCTACTTCGTAGTTTTACTGAGTACCAAAGGTATTAGCAACTTTTACGCTCTACTTCACTACATTTTTGAATAAGTATCTGTAGGCCTACTCTTTACTCCACTACAGTTGTAATGAGTATTGCATTTGCTCATTACATTTTGCATGGACCTAACTTTTTCTGCAGCAGTTTATTTCTGCTACAAAAGAAGCACTATTGTCAGGGCATTAAAAGTACTATATCTTGTGCGTTTTGCCCTTACTCGATGAAACTTGTCAACAAGGCTTATTTGTGTGAATGTGAGTGCATTAGCGTGTAGCTGTGAATCACTGGTGTTTTATGAGATAAGGACATTACTACAGCCAGAGATGAGGCTGAAACCAGCACGTCTAGTGCAAAACAGCTTTGACTTTTTAATTTTACTTAAGATTATTTTATTTATCTGTCATATTAAAGGGACCTTTTTGAAGGACATTGGTTTACTTATGCCCTTTTTGAGCACTTGTGCTTCACTGAGACTTGAGTGTCTGTAGACGTTTAAGAGGTGGTTGTGTTGACATTGATGTCTTGGAATTTTGAGGTGTTCAGTTTTATTTTGATTATAGAAAATAAAAGTGATTGCTCTTCTCACAAATCAAATTTTTCTTCTTTTTCACTGGCATTTCTCGTTGGTTTTGAGGGCTAATGCATCTCTGAGCTTACATTCAGTATGAGTACAATTTTTAAGTACTCTATACTCTAAGACTTTTACTCATTGTAAAACAGTCGTTTTGTAATTGGTGACTTGTAATGGAGTCATGTTTGCTCTAAGGTATCTGTACTTTTACTCAAGTATTGTTTTCAGGTACTATTTACTCCTCTGGTATGCAGTCATTTCCCCTCAAGTGTCCTAGCAGAGTGACCACAGATGGAGTTCATCACATCAGGATTCCCACAATACATTTCTATAACTTGCCCATGAAATTTCCCAAGAAATGGACACTATGGTGTTATTTGTGTCCCATGACATTTCCTGGCCTGGAAATCACAGTTTTAAAAATTGCTTGATATTTCTATTTGAAGTAGAATCCCCGTTACACCTGTTCCTCTTAAGTTTGACAATGAAATAGTGTCCAAATATGTACTGTAATCCTAATTATGAACAGTATATTTATTAACAAACTTATTTTTTGTGAATTCTTTTGCTTTAAAAGTCTGTTTGTGCTGTATTTCTTTATATAATTGGTTTGATATTTTCTAATGTAATGACATTCACACATTTTTTTAAGCATGACTTAAGGTCAAACATTTTTTGTGGGGACCCTGTATGTTTAGGTCTATGCGTTCTGGGTTTAACATATTAATGCACTAATACAAACATGAGTTTCATAAAATGCAGTTAGGACATTGTATGATATCTGTGTCATTGTCTTAAGAGCCGTTGACTGGTGACGTTGTTAACATGTAGCAGCTCTTGTGGTTATCACACTTGTGATACAAATGTCCCAGACGTTTGAAATGACACATCTGCCTTAAAGAAGTTGTTATAGGCAACAAAGTAAACTTCTAAATACTTTGTATCTGCAATCTTAGGTGCAACTAGCAAATCAAGTTGAAACTAAAAAGTTTTGACTGAAAACTGCTGTTTCACATTAAAGGCATTGTTCACTTTGCTAAAATATTAATTAATAGTAAAAAGATTATATCAACAGTTACACATTTTTTCTAAAGTTTATTATGTTTATTTGATCTATTTTTTTCAGACAATGGAAATGAAAGAGAAAGCAACACTCCATTTCACAGCAATTCCCTTATCAACAATACAATTTTAAGTTTTCAGCATTGACCTTGTTGCAAATAAGAGCCTGTTTTTTTTTTTTGTGGGGTGGGCTATCAATTCATAATTTTGTGAAACTCCTGACATCATTATTGACCTTTCAGTGAATCCCATCTTTTTACTATTAATTTTGTGAATGCCAATTGGTCATGTTGAAAATGAATTGATAACAAGATCAATGGTTGAATATTTAGAAGGTAGAAGCTTAGAAGTTTGTTGCGATTATATGATGTAATGCTGCAGAAAGAGAGAAAAATAATACTTATGCTTAACTATTTAAGGGGTTTACCATTTATTCAAGTAATAGTTCACAAAAAAAGAAAAAGAATAGCTGAAAATGTACTCACCCTAAGTCCTGAAAGTAGACAAAGAGAATCCAATCAAACAAATGAGACAAAAATATTTCCTTTGCCATTTATTTATTCAGGAAAATGATCCAATATTGCATATCTGAGAGTGGCAAATGTATGCGAATCTCTAGGATCAGCAGTTTATTTGAAGGTGAAATTAGAGTCCATCTGTTCAGAGGTGTTTTTAATCAGTGAGATGACTTTCAGGTGTCTGTGCATGCCCTGTTTTATTTAAAGAACAAGGATCTATCAAAGTTTGATGATGTTTGTGGAAGTATATCACTGCACGAACAAAAGAGATCCTGAGGACCTCAGAAAAAGAGTTGCTGTTGCTCATCAGGCTGGAAAAGGTTACAAAGCCATCGCTAAAGAGTTTGGACTCCACAAATCTACAGTCAGACAGATTGTGTACAAATGGAGGAAACTCAAGACCATTGTTTTCCTCCCCAGGAGTGGTTGACCAACTAAGATCACTCAGAAAGCAAGACGTGTAATGATCTGCGAGGTTGCAAAGGACCCCAGGGTAACTTCTAAGCAACTGAAGGCCTTTCTCACATTGGCTATTGTTAATGTTTATGAGTCCATCATCAGGAGAACACTGAACAACCATGGTGTCTGTCCATGGCAGAGTTGCAAGAAGAAAGCCACTGCTCTCCAAAAAGATCATTGCTGCCCATCTGTAGTTTGCTAAAGATCATGTGGACAAGCCAGAGTGTTATTGGAGAAAGGTTTAATGGACGGATGAGACCAAAATATTACTTTTTGGTTTAAATGAGAAGTGTTATATTTGGAGAAAAGAACACACTAAATTCCAGCATAAGAACCTTATCCCATCTGTGAAACGTGGTGGTAGTATCATGGTTTGGGTCTGTTTTGCTGCATCTGGGCCAGGACAGCTTGCCATCATTGATGGATAAATGAATTCTGAATTATACCAGCAAATTCTAAAGGAAAATGTCAGGACATCTGTCCAAGAACTGAATTTTAAGAGAAAGTGAGTCATGCAGCAAGACAATGATCCCAAGCACACGAGTCATTCTACCAAAGAATGGTTAAAGAAGAACAAAGTTAATGCTTTGGAAAGGCTGAGCCAAAGTCCGGACCTTAATGTTGTGAAAGGACCTGAAGCTCAGTTCATAAGAGGAAACCCACCAACATCACAGAGTTGAAGTGGTACTGAGGAATGGGCTATAATTCCTACAAGCCACTGTGCAGGACTGATCGGCATTTACAAAAAACTTTACCTGCCGTTACTGCTGCAAAAGGGGGTCAGACCCGTAGCAAAGATTCACAAATGAAAATCTGATGATGTTTTGTGTCATTTATGCAGAAATATAGAAAATTATATAGGGTTCACAAACTTTCAAGCAGCACTGTATATATGAATGTTACCATTTGTATAGGCATCTTTAAATTAAAACGCTAGTAATGTTTCCAAGAAAAGCAGTTTGCATTAGGCTTCTTTTATGAAATCTCAGATATTTATGGAAAGATCAAACTCTCTGCACGTAATATGATAAAGTATGTGGGTTTGAGAAGTTCAGTGACATTGTGTACAGAGAAGGCCATGAGAGAATCCGTGACCCATTTAGCCTGATTCATAATTAAACCCTTTACCATATCTTTCCCTCCATAGCAATTATATAATACGTTACTGCCACCCTGAGGTCCTGTTCCTCTGTTGTTTTGTTTGAAAATTTAACAGATGGGGCTTATTTCTCATGAATTAGAGAGACTGCAAGATATCGATCTGATTTCGGTTTAGAGCAGAACAGATTAGGTAAGGTCATACATGAAAATTACAACCACTACTGCTCATGGCAGTCCTCTTGTGCAGCATCATCACGTTTTTTATTACCTCAGCTTGGAGGTTTCTGTGACCAGCTGAGAGTGGAAGAAGCTTCTGGCAATCAATGTGCTTTCTGGCTCTCAAACAATAATATTTTTTGCCAATATGCTAAATTTTATTAAAAACATAATAAAAATGAATTAAATGATCTAGTCATGCCACTTCAATTTATGTAAGTGGGACGTTTCACTGTTTGTATTGCTTTAAGATATTCTGTCAGTTTGGTAGGGATATTCAGTGACACTTTGTGCATGTTTACAGCATTTAGTTAGAGCCAGTAGGTGGCTTTAGATGTGATTCATGAATTACTCAAACGATTCATTCAAACACGGATTAATACAGGATGAGCCAGGTGACTATTTAATGAGTGAGCCATTGAATCATTCACTTAACCGTTTTGAACACTGAATCATTCTGGAAATGAACACTGCTCTGTGCTGCTT